GTAAACGCTACGCCTATGAGAAAAAGGAGCAGCGCATGAACCGAACACAACACATGCCAATTGAAACCGTTCCATCCCTATTAAACATATATTGACGTAGCTGCTGGTTAAAATTCACTGAGTGCTGCTGTGTCTCTCCTCCTCCACGTAGCGATTCTGTACGCAGTGAATAGCGACCCCAGATAATATTATGTCTCAAAGCAACAGATCCGATGATATTTCACAGAGAGGAGAGACTCAAGAGCAGCAGGAGTGCAAGGAAAAAATACGGACTGGAAACGCTCTGAACACAGACAGCTGCACCCAACCCCAGTTACTGTTGGCTAAAGTAAATCAGCGGAAATTATTGGCGGGGGCTGTCCCCTCCATACCCAAAGTTGTAGGGGACATGTCCCCACCAGTCCTTCAGAAAGTTACGCCAGTGATTTTGACCTTTCAAAATGTATAAAACAATTACTTATGTAGTATATATGTTTGAGTAAAATGAATCATCCACCACTCTACACATTCTCTGAATGTATGGTTATTAAAATATTTATCATTTTGATTTAGAAATAATTAAAGTATTCAGTGTAGAGTTTGTAGAGCAGAGTTCAGTCTCTCTTTTGTTGCCGTTGGTTTAGGTATTAACGGTTGAGTGTTGTTTCATGCAAATGGATCATAAATCAGACACATTAAACAGCAAAGTCCATCACATACAAATCTAATATCAGAGGCAGGTGGTGATGATAAGAGCTGATTCATCTGATTATACAGCAGAAAGGTGACCAATCCAATTACAGCTCCCGCCCAGACAGAAGTCTGCTAATGATTTACTAACATGCATGCTTGGTGTGAGAGATTGCTGAAGAGCGAACAACACAATGCAAGCGAATGTCTACTGTCTCTGCATGGTCATCCAGGAGGAGTGCGTCACTGGGTGCAATCAGCTGGCTTTGAACCAATCTGACTATATGAACTGGCTGAAAATGCCTTGAAAAGACATGTTGTGAATTGGCACTTTAAGAATAGACTGCATGGAATTAAATTAATTGGACTGAAGCAACTTCCTCATCATCAGCTTTTCCATGTGTAAGGATAAGACTGGTGCTGGACTGGAGATCTGTGCATCTAATAGGAGCAAAACAGCTTCACTCCCGCAGGTATTCTCAGATAACATCAGCACAGCAGTCTGACCTTTCTGCATTACTCACAATCTACTGCTGGTAAGCATGATTGATCTGTTCAGACATAAAATACAGTGAGGAAAATAAGTATTTGTCACACTGCTAGAAATCATGGAGGGGTCTGAAATTGTCATCGTAGGTGCATCTGCTTCTCTAATTCTCCTTAGGTGTGTGTCAATGGTTTTTTTTATCCTGTTTGTCTCTGTGTTGCCCTGCGATGGCAACCATGTACCCCGCCTCTCGCCCGTAGATGGCTGGAAATAGGCACCAGCAGCCCTTGCAACCCCGCTTGGGATAAAGAGTGTCAGAAAATGGATGTATATGTCTGTGTGTGTGTGTGTTTGTGTGTATTTATATATATATATATATATATTGAGTTTTGTACATATATGTATAGATTTATATGTACAAAACTCTCAATCCCTTCAAAAATACAACAAATATTAATTCTAAGATCTCAGAGGAAAAGTACAAATACAAGTCCATTATCTAAGGGAAAGAGAACATAATTTGTGAATTTCACTAGAGCTATTTCCTATACTTTGGGGAAGTATGATGTGATAGGAAGAGGGACAAGGGTCAGCATCCCTCTCCTTGGACATCTTGTGCAAAACATCACCTATTGTCACTCACATGCTATATTCTTCTCTCTGACAGTGCAATAAAACATGCCAACTACCGTGTAGCCTGTGTAATTTTTTACTTAGTAAATCTCTGCAGTGCAAGTGCAATCATCCAAGTCAACAATTATCTAATCCTCCCTAGCGCTCTACTTTTTTTTATATCTCAAGGAAACATATTCCAGGACATTACAGCTTTTTTGTACTATATACACTGTTTTTATAATGTCTGTTGTGTTTTTATCATTAATGGCATCTTGCTTTAATTGTGCCCTTTGTACTCTATATAAGCCAAATCGATTTCCTTGTAAGTGCAAACCTACTTGGCAATAAACTTGATTCTGATTCTTTGAAATCAGAGGGATACTTTCTTAAATAACTTGGTTTGAACTAGATCAAACATACAAATTGAAGGCTTAATGTTCAGCTGGATGAAAGCAGTCCAAACTAGGATCGGATTTTATTGTTACCTCAGATGCTGCCTCACCTTCCAGCGATAAACCAATCATATTTAGACGGGTACCAATTAATTTATTTTTAGATAGAATCAATCTTATTTATAAATAATCCCATAAAATGATTACTGCTTAGAGCAGGGGGAATGGATGGATGTAATAAAAAAGATTTCTAGGATTATTCCTATTATCCTCCATTAATGAGGAGAAATATCATTTTATACTGCACTAGATTTTTTTCAGACTGCGTAGGATTTCTTTAGGCATGTAGAGTGTCATTTTCTCTCAATTTTTCAAGCATTTTCCTTTAAGGTCCACAGATCTGTGTCAAACTAAGGAGCCAATCTCCTATTGTTAAATTTCTTTCTTTTTTATAAAGTGCCCACCTTGTCCAAGGCACTACACAGAGACCTGGTGACCTATTAACAAAATCATCAATTTCTAAAGGGAAATAAATCGATGTTTGCGCTGGTCAGAGAGGACCGGGTTGTTAGGAAATACTGTTATTCCTTAACATTTATTACTATATGTTAGCACAAGATCCAAAGTAGGAAGATGAGAATGTGTGGGACTATTCACATTTTGAACAAAGCTAATTGAATAAAAGATAGCATTAATGGCTGCATTAAAGCTTTCATCTTCAATGTCAGCTTGGATGTTAAAATCCCGCACTATGATGACCTTGTTAGTATTTAACGCTTAATAACATATGTAGGAACTCTGAAAACTCATCTAAAAATTCAGAGTAAGGACCTGGTGAACAATACAAAGTTACAAAAACAAGAGGTTTTGTCGTTTTTAAAATTTGGATGAGAGAAACTAATAGTTAAATCTTCAAAAGAGTTTTAATTATTTACTGCCTTTGTAGTAATTAGTAAGTCAGACTGAAAGATTTTTGCTACTCCTCCTCGCCCAGAACTTCTGGGTATGTGAAAATTTAAATAAGGAGTGAAAATTGAAGAAGTTGCCTCATTTATGCTCACATAAACCTCTAGATGCAGCCAAGTTTCTGCCACATAAATCAATGTGATTATCACAAATCAAGTCATTAACTGACTTTTTTCAAGAAATAGGAGTTATTTTTATTTTGGTTAAATTATCATAATTTACTACTGTTTTTGTCATTTATTTGATTTTGTTGTGGGCAAGACAATATCTTGATGGAATAACGGCAGAGAAGCTTCAGAGAAGTGTTTTACAATATGACTCTGCTTCCTGGTGTGAACCCTAGGCTGTCAGGGTTTTGAAGAGCTTATAAATTTGGCCAGATTCCTAAAAAGAAGAGCTGCTCCATCCAAAGTGAGATGGATGCCGTCTCTTCGAATCAGACCAGGTTTTCCCAAAAGTAATATATACTTCAGCTGAGAAATGGCCTCTGCGAAACGTTACATTTTTCCGATTCAAGACACACAAAAACAAGGGTGAACATTGGTCTAGCTTTAGAGCATTTGTGCCAACATTAGGAAGAAACTACTTTGGTTCAGTGTGCCCCTGATTTGACATCACAGACGCCAGTAAATTGGTTCTGACCAGTCGGCCCATTTGAGGTTCACCTTGAAACCCTCAATCCAATGGACATACTCTTTTTGTCGTTGTTGTTGCACATGTGGACAATAGTCTTGTGTGCAACCTTTATAGAGTGTTCTGTTTTCAGATCGGGTAAACCAACTATTTTCTCTGTCCCTTTTTCTCTTACAATTATTTATTTTTTCACATTTTCTATCAGGCACAGGGGGGGAAACAGAGGCCAAGGTGTCCCTTGTGGAGGCCCCCGGTCCCGACTCCGAAATAACTCCCAGTCTTGAGAACATCAAGGCAGCTTATGAAGGTGGTGATGAGGAAGCAGCCAGGGAGCTGATTCAGCAGGCCTGTTGCGTGGACTGTTCAGGGGGGATCCATCCCGACGGGGTGAGTGATGAAGTAATTTATTTTTAAAAGAGGTCAATGACATTTAATTATTTAATTTATATTTTTAAATGTTTTTTTTTTATCATATTAATTGGGCATTTACTCATGTTCTTGTGTATTTTACTAAATAAACAATAACATGATTAAATGCAACATTCATATGTATATGTTTCATGTAATATTTTAACCTTCCCTCTATCTTAGGGATTCAGCATAATACATACATAAAAATGGAGGTATATGTACATAATACATATATATATATATATATATATATATATATATATATATATATATATA